TACTACTCACTTAATCCAGTTAGTCTTAGTTTGAACAGTAGGTCCAAGTTCTTATGGTTTTATATGTGGGCCTGAAATTCAATTCGAATTCACTGTATTTTAGCAGCCCAAACTGATTTTTTAGTCAAATTTAATTTCTTGTAATACAATTAAATCTTTATAAACAAATATAGTTGGAGCTTACAAATTCTATTAATTTACCGAAATATTAAATTATGGAATTAATGAAATAGCAATTGAGAAAAGCATACAACAAGAAGAAACAAACAATAGAGGGGGCGGCGCGTGGGCTATCTTCTCTCTCTCTCTAAACATAAATTTGAGAAAGCCTCTTAACATTAAAAGGATAAACCTCAGCTTTAAGGTTGGATTTAAAAGCCTTATTTGCAATAACATAATTCACAGCTTCTGTTGGATGCAGTCCATCAAAAAACACATACTCACTTCTGTTTTTACAAATTAGCCCTCCTCTCTTGCACAAAACTCCTGTGGGCCCCACTTCACAGCATGGACTTTTCACATCACTAAAACCTGAATTTAATTAATTAAGTAATTAATCATTTAAAAGCTTCTAAATTAATATATACTATTAATTAAAGGGTTAGAAGATTAAATGATTAATTAATATACCTTTAGTACTAGGAGATTTTATAATATCCCTTATAACTTTGTAAGTATTGACAAACACAAGGTTAGAACCAGGCATTTGAGGCCTAACTGCATCCACTAAATTCTTCAAATTTGAGTTAAACATATGAGATGCTTTGTTTAATTTTCGTAAGCAGGCTCGTCCCGGAAACCACCTCGTAGCCATTGGACTACAACCGTTCGGGTTTATCGCCATCAAGACGAACTTTCGAGCACCCAAATTGTACAGCCTCTGCATAAGTTGTCACAACATAATTTTTTCATTATTGTTTTATACTAATGCATGTGACTAAATTTTGTTAGTTAAGTTAAAGAAAATCAAGAATATTCCAATTAGTATGTTATATAATTACCTTGAGTTGGAGAGAGAGAGTGGTGGTTAAATTTGCAGTAAAATCTTGAAGAGTGCTGTTATTATTGCCCCTGAAATAATTGAATGAGTAGTCATTTCCTCCACTCCCAACCACAAACAAGAAATCCGACATTATTTTCGTGCTTTTTTCGCCTAACTGCAGCTCGAAAGCTGGTATAGTGGCCGATTCGAAGTTTCGGATTTGTTGATTCAAACTGATCACATTGCCCTGAAATTTAATTTGATTGGTTAAAGGTGTTACCTTTTCTTGCATCATGTGTGTGTGTGTGAGAGAGAGAGAGAGACATATATAGCAAATTGTGGTGAAGTGTTACAATGTAAATATAATCAAGAAAGGGGCATATTTGACAATGTATAATCATGTGACTGATCAATCACATGAGTACATGATAATAACTCCACAACAACATGCAAATAATCATGTGACTAAATCAAATGGAGAGAGAGAGAGAGAGAGAGAGAGAGAGAGAGAGAGAGAGAGAGAGAGAGAGAGAGAGAGAGAGAGAGAGAGAGAGAGAGAGAGAGAGAGAGAGAGAGAGAGAGAGAGAGAGAGAGAGAGAGAGAGAGAGAGAGAGAGAGAGAGAGAGAGAGAGAGAGAGAGAGAGAGAGAGAGAGAGAGAGAGACATACTGCAAAAGAACCAGTATCATCAAGTATGCCAGAAACACCAGAAGCAAAGTTAACACCATGCAAGATTTTGCTTCCATTTGTTGAAGGATCATTAAAAGGTGGAATGTAGTTCGGAAGTCGGAGTTTTTCTCCCAATACATCGATCACATTCTTTCCGTTCGTGAACCTTCCGGAAGGTCCTAGAGGGAAGTCGGCCCCGTAAGGTGAATAATCCGCCTTGGCTATCGAATTCGGAAGAAAGTTGTTGTTGCCATTGTCAACTAAGGAGCTTCCAAAAACAAACATTCCCCTAATTTTGGAGCCATGATTTTTTGGTGTGAGTTTGCTTAGACAAATTGATTGAGAAAGAAAAGCAAACAGAAACACACACAAAAGTGGGATTTGTGACATGTTGTTTATATGTCTGATTTTTCTTAGTAAGAAACAATGTGATTTATAAGTGGTTTTTTTTATTTTTTTTTATTTTTTATGTTGTATTTATAGAGGAGGGAGAAAATTAAAGATCACTTTTTATTTATTAACAAAACAAAAAATTAAATATTTTAAGAATTTGTATTTAATTCCCTTTGAATATAATTGATTGGTGGAAAATTAGTCAAGTAGTAGTCTTTGGAAGCTATAATAAATATATATGCATGAATTTTTGCTTGACTTTTTATTGAGAAAAAAAGCCTTTAAACATGACATTTTTGCTGGCATATGTAGTTGGAAATTGTATTTTTATTCTTGGAAAATTAATAATAATTAAAATAAATAAAAAAATTCAGAGTGAAGTTGAAGTCAAAAGTTCATTCAGATTTCTGACACTGCAAAAAAAAATTGGGAAAGTGGAATGATGGTACTCAAGGCTTCTGATGTTGTACATGTGGCCTTCAAGTTGAAGAGAGGCCCCTTCTGGAAAATGAAACCCTAGCATACATTAATTCAACACCTAAAACAGGTGTCCATTTATTGCATGTTTTATGTTGGTTGGTCTTGAAACGACGTCGTTTGTCTCCCCTACCCCAATTCGAAAGTCGAAATAAAATAATCATAAAAATAAATTAATAATATAGACACTAAACCAAATTTAGATTTTTGTAGTATGTATGGGTATATATACATATTATTATACACCAAAAGAAAATGTTGCAATTGATTCTATTCTTTGTACATATAATTATTAATTTATTATATAGACACTGCATTGTAATCGATGGTATAATTATTAATTATTATTATTATATATGTAATCAACTTTATATCATGCGTTGGAGCGCATCCTCGGTTATTTGAACCGTTCGAGGAGCAGGAAGTGGCGGATCGGTGAGTGGTGGGTCCCGAGGGGGATCACCTGAACCTCGCGAGACGGATCCGGAGCACGCGGAGGAGGTGGCAAGCCAGAGCCACCACGGACTGGGAGGTTGCTAGCTGTGTCATTCTCTCTCCGAGCGGAGGCCTCAGGAGGATCTTGTTGGCTACGTGATCTGGTTTGCATCGTTTCCACAAACGGCGTCAAAATGATGATGCTAATTACTTAGATCACCTAGGGTAGTGTAGAAAACGAGCTGGGAGTGCAAATCGGATCAGTAACTTAACAATTTGATGATCCTGAGTACCTGCGAAATGCACACATGAACTAAGCCGGGGGTTCATCCGGCGGAAACTCCTCCGACGCTCAAGTCAGATATACGGATGGTGGATATGGTAGAGAGAATACTACTCTAGATTTATAGTGAATAATAGAACGTACCTTAACAAATGTGTAAAAAACTCTATTTATATGTGTTGATTGGGTTGAGTTTATTTTGTTGGGCACAAGCCTTATTTTGAAGGTGTTTGGACTTTCGTGTAATGAGTCCAATTACTAGATAAATTGGGGGCCCATTGGGTCGGCCCAATTAGGTATATCAAATTGTAATACTCCCTCCGTCCCAATTTAAATGACGTTTTGGGTTGTTTCACACATATTAAGAAAATCAATTAATGTGTATAGATTATAGTAAAAAGCATAGGAAAATACTAATATATCCTTGACATTAATTGTTTTACAACTAACTAATTAGGAGTTATAAAGGGTAAAATTGAAAATAGTGCAATTAATGATGCATTGAAAATCTAAAATGACAAATAATATGGGACAAATGGAGTATTGTTTATTTTCTGTAGGACCTCAGGCGCTACCAGTTGTCCCAAAACCAATTGGTGTTAGTCTCCACCACGTGGACAATTGCTGCCAAACCCAGGCTAACAATCTCCCCCTCAGCAATTGCTCTAGCTGGGAATCGAACTCGTGACCTTGGCTCTGATACCACTTGTAGGACCTCAGGCGCTACCAGTTGTCCCAAAACCAATTGGTGTTAGGAAAGTCGCAAACCCTAGCCTTATAGTGCATTCAACACACACAAGCGCCCACGGCATTCGATTGTGGGCCACCCATACCCGGGCCTCCACCACGTGGACAATTGCTGCCAAACCCAGGCTAACATTTTCGATTTCCGGTTTTCCGATTTTCAAAATTCGTATTTTTTTTATTTTTCCGAAGAAACATATATAGAAGTAGGTAGTTTGGATTCTTAATTAACTACCATGCAGAGTGTAATAAATTCAGAATTAAGCTGAAGTCAAATCTGATACAGCAAAGAAAAATAAATGGGAAAGATGGTACCTCAGGCTTGTCATGTTGTACATGTGGCCTTGGAGTTTTTTCTTTTATTTTCTCTTTTTTGGAAAATAAAAATAAAAATAAAAAAAGTAATCCATTTATTGCATTTTTGTTTGCTGTTGGTTCGTCTCTTATCCAAATAAATGTTGCCCTGATTTAGGTGACCCTTATATATATATATATATATATATATATATATATATATATACTTGTTGTATATTCAAACGTAATTTGTGGAATGATAATTCGGATTGAAACTTGTAAATTATATATAACTTGTAGATACAAATATGTAGCTGACTATAAGTGTATAAGTTAAACGATATAATATTTTTCAAAAATTATGAATGTATCCTTATATTTTTAATAATATGTAAATGTTTCGCCATGTCCCCGTTTCCAACTTTCTAGAAAATGGGCTTTTCCCGTGTCCGTTTCCCGTTTTTCCGTTTCGCCGGAGATTTTATTTATCATTGATCTTAGTTTGAACAGTAGGTCCAAGTTCTTATGGTTTTATATGTGGGCCTGAAATTCAATTCGAATTCACTGCATTTTAGCTTCTATTTAGCAGCCCAAACTGATTTTTTAGTCAAATTTAATTTTTTGTACTACAATTAAATCTTTATAAACAAGGGGAAATTGGCTAGACACCCCTAATTTTGGACTTATATAGGTGGAAATCCAAATTGTTAGATGAATATAGGTGTAGGTCCTTTGGTCAATATAATTAATATTAATTAAATTAAAATATTATTATATAGACACAAATACCCTTAATTAATATTTATATGAAATACTATTTTTGAAAATTATGGAGCAAATCCCACGTATCACTCTCCTCACTCTCTCCTCTCCCCCCTCTTTCACTCTCCTCTCTCTCATCTCTCACGTCTATTTCTCTCTCTCTCTTTCCCAACTTTTTCATTTTTCTTATTTTTTATTCTACTTTTTAATTTTTTCCTGCATTTTTCTAATTGACTTGGATCAATAAACATTTACATTTCTTATTTTTTTATTCTACTTTTTAATATTTTTATGCATTTTTCTAATTGACTTGGATCAATAAACATAAATGTAAAATAACAAAAATAATTTCAAACACATATTTAATGTTACAAAATTATTGTAATATCGTATTCACTCGTTATATTTTTTTAGTATGATTTTATTACATACAATTTGTAAACTGCAAACAAAACGAAGTCAAAGTGGGCAACAACAATTTGTAAACTGCAAACAAAACGAAGTAAAACTGCAAACGACAAACACCCAAAACGACCTGGTACCCAAAACGACATGGTAAAACGACCAAGAACCAAAAAATTGAACAGCAAATTGAACAGCAAATCGAAAACTGCAAACGACCAAATCGAAAACTGCAAACGATCAAGAACCCAAAAATCGAAAACTGCAAACTGCAGCAAATCGAAAACTGCAAACGACCGAATCGAAAAATTGAACAGCAAATTGAACAGCAAATCGAAAACTGCAAACGACCAAATCGAAAACTGCAAACGATCAAGAACCCAAAAATCGAAAACTGCAAACTGCAGCAAATCGAAAACTGCAAACGATCAAGAACCCAAAAATCGAAAACTGCAAACTGCAGCAAATCGAAAACTGCAAACAACCAAAACACCCAAAACTGCAAACGACCAAGAACCCAAAAATTGAACAGCAAATCGAAAACGAAGACAAAATGCAAACGACCTGGTAAAACTGCAAACGACCAAACACCCAAAACCTCTTGAAGGATTCAAAATTCGTGGTGAGATTTTCGATTTGAAGAATAAGGGGAGAAATCGAATTCAAGATTTTTGCAATTGGAATTTCGGATTTGCAGTATAATAGGGAGAGAAATGGGGGATTTGATTTTGAAGATATATTTTACCGTATATTACTAGACATATTGATAGGGGTACTTTTGACAAATTATAAATACAAAAATTTGCTGGAAATTAGAGTTTATTAGATGGATTTTAACACATATAATCTCTTATAGGAGGACCTATAGCAAATTGCCCCTATAAACAAATATAGTTGGAGCTTACAAATTCTATTAATTTACCGAAATATTAAATTATGGAATTAATGAAATAGTACGTCGTAATTGTTCGAGAAAAGCATAGGGGTGGCGGCGCGCGGGCTATCTTCTCTCTCTATCTTTTCTCTCTCTCTCTAAACATAAATTTCAGAAAGCCTCTTAACATTAAAAGGATAAACCTCAGATTTAAGGTTGGATTTAAAAGCCTTATTTGCAATCACATAATTCACAGCTTCTGTTGGATGCAGTCCATCAAAAAACACATACTCACTTCTGTTTTTACAAATTAGCCCTCCTCTCTTGCACAAAACTCCTGTGGGCCCCACTTCACAGCATGCACTATTCACATCTCTAAAACCTGAATTTAATTAACTAATCATATATCATTATTTAATCTTCTAAATTAATATATATATTAATTAAAGGGTTAGAAGATTAAATGATTAACTTACCTTTAGTACTAGGAGATTTTATAATATCCCTTATAACTTTGTAAGTATTGACAAACACAAGGTTAGAACCAGGCATTTGAGGCCTAATTGCATCCACTAAATTCTTCAAATTCGAATTAAACATATGAAATGCTTTGTTTAATATTCGTACGCAGTCTCGTGTCGGAAAACTCGCCGTAGCTATTGGACTACAGCCGTTCGGGTTTATCGCCATCAGAACGAACTTTCGAGCACCCAAATCGTACAACCTCTGCATAAGTTGTCATAAACATAATTTTTCATTATTAATTTGAGTTTAAGTCAAAGAAAATCAAGAATCCAATTAATATATATATATATATATATATATATATATATATATATATATATATATATATATATATATATATATATATAAATATATTACCTTGAGTTGGAGAGAGAGTGTGGTGGTTAAATTGGTAGTAAAATCTTGAAGAGTGATATTATTGTTGGCCCTAAAATAATTGAGTGAGTAGTCATTTCCTCCACTCCCAACGACAAACAAGAAATCCGACATTATTTTCGTGCTTTTTTCGCCTAACTGCAGCTCGAAATCTGGTAGAGTGGCCGATTCGAAGTTTCTGATTTGTTGATTCAAACTGATCACATTGCCCTGAATTTAATTTGGTTGGTTAAAAGGTGTTACCTTTTCTTGCATCATGTGTGTGTGTGTGCGTGACATATATAGCAAATTGTGGTGAAGTGTTATAATGTAAATATAATCAAGAAAAGGGCATATTTGATAATATATAATCATGTGACTGATGAATCACATGATTACATGATAATAACTCCACAACTACATGCAAATAATCATGTGACTAAATCAAATAGAGATAGAGAGAGAGAGAGAGAGATAGAACTTACTGCAATAGAACCAGTAACATCAAGTATGCCAGAACCACCAGAAGCAAAGTCAACACCATGCAAGATTTTGCTTCCATTTGTTGAAGGATCATTAAAAGGTGGAATATAATTCGGAAGTCGGAGTTTTTCACCCAATACATCGATAACATTCTTTCCGTTCGTGAACCTTCCGGTAGGTCCTAGAGGGAAGTCGGCTCCGTAAGGTGAATAATTCACCTTGGCTAAAGAATTCGGAAGAAAATTGTTGTTGCCATTGTCAAGTATAGAACTTCCAAAAACAAACATTCCCCTAATTTTGGAGCCATGGTTTTTTGGTGTGAGTTTGCTTAGACAAATTGATTGAGAAAGAAAAGCAAAGAGAAACACACACAAAAGTGGGATTTGGGACATGTTGTTTATATGTCTGATTTTTCTTAGTAAGAAACAATTTCTATAAGTGGTTTCTCTTTTATGTTGCATTTATAGAGAAAGGAGAAAATTAAAGATCACTTTTTTATTTATTAAAAATAAATAAAATTAAATTAAATATTTAAGAATTAGTATTCCCTTTGAATCGATTGGTGCAGAATTAGTCCAGTCGTCTTTGGAAACTATAATAAATATATGCATGAATTTTTGCTTGACTTTTTATTGAGAAAAAAGCCTTTAAACATGACATGTTTGCTGGCATATGTAGTTGGAAATTGTATTTTTATTCTTGGAAAATTAATAATAAATAAATAAATTCAGAGTGAATTTGTTGAAGTCTTCTGATTTCTGACACTGCAAAAAATGGGAAATTGGAAAGATGGTACTCGAGGCTTCTGATGTTGTACATGTGGCCTTCAAGTAGAAGAGAGGCCCCTTCTGGAAAATGAAACCCTAGCAACATTAATTCAACACCTAAAACAAGTGTCAATTTATTGCATGTTTTTTTGTTGGTTGGTCTTGAAACGACGTCGTTTGTCTCCCCCTTTACCAATTCAAAAGCCAAAATAAATAAAATAATAAAACGATTCTTTAAGTTATAAAGTATTTGTTTGGGCTTTAAAAAGCAATTCGAATTCTAACTTCTAGTTAGCAGCCCAAACTGATTTTTGAGTTCACCAATTCGAAAAAGCCCATATTTCTATTTTACATCCAATTAATTATATTTTTCTATTTTTTTTATAAATTACATTAAATTAAATTAAATGTAGTATAAACAAACCATGAAAATATACACACAACCAAATTTATATTTTTGTAGTATATACATATTCTTATACTTACATATATACACAAAACACTGGATTGCAGTTGATGGTATTCTTTGTACATATAATTATTAATTTATTATATAGACACTACATTGTAATCGATGGTATAATTATTATAAACAAAAACATTATTGTAATCAACATAATATTATATTACCTTTACAAGAAGAAACAAAGAACAATCAGCCCATCAGCCCCATCTGTTAATACACAATTATGTAAAGAGATTATTTGAGGGGCGCGTGGGCTACACTTCTCTCTCTCTCTCTCTCTCTCTCTCTCTCTCTCTCTTCTTTCTCTCTCTATCTGACGCAGAAACGAGAGATATATATATATATATATATATATAAGCAGTGTTAAACCAAAAGATGCTTCTTTTCGAGATTCAAAGCTCCCAGGAATCATCAACCCTACCACTCATCACGCGATAACTTCGTAATTCATTGCAGTTATTTAGGTTTGTCTATCAGATCCCTTTATTATTATTATTATTTATTAGTTTTTCCTTTTTGTTTTCCAATTGATTGATTTCTTAGATTATGTTGTCGTCTCGTTTCAATTTATTAAATAGCATCTGATTTCGTTAATTGCGTCTGGTTTTTGTTTAATTTTGACAGTTATGGAGCAATTTGTTGATTCTGTTAAATATCTTTGCTTCTTATTATTATTTTTATTTTATTTTTTAATTTTTTTTGATCATGTTGAGAAAAAATGTGTTAATGGATTAACTTTATGGTGAAGGCATTTATTTAAGATAAATATTTTATGGCTTTTTACGAAAATTGCTATGTTCTTCGGTTTGTTGGTAAAAAGAAAAATCCAGCTGTTTGTACCTGAATAATATTAATGTGCTAAAATGTATTCAATGTTATTGTTAATGTTTCGGTCTAGTTAATCGGGGGTGCATTGAAGATGTAATTAAAGATGCTGCTGAAAATCGACAAATTCGAGGAATTAGTTAATGTTTGCGATACACGTATGAAATTTCCAGCTCTCTCTTTCTTATTCCGGACTGAAGAGTTTTTGGTTTTTATCGGATGTTACGACTTCTTTAATTTCAGAACCTGCATCTGTGAACATCAAACGAAAAAATATTTCAATTTATAGATATAGCCCGTTTTATTTTGTATGTCGGCGAAACGAGTTGACCTTTGACAACGTTGGCAATGAATCTTCGAAGAAAAATATATATGTAAAAATTCTTATATATTCTGTGGTTTTTTGTTTTCTCTACATGAGTTCGTATTTTCGTTTCTCCATTTTTACCTTATTCCCGTTACATGCCCTTATGAACGGAGGAAATGGTTGGCTTAAAATCAAATCGCCTGTCCTTTCGTGAAGGTTGTATAGTATCAGGACCATATACATATTCCCGACTCGTTTTTTATTACCTTCAATTGTTTCTATCGATTGTGATGCTATAATGTTTTTTCTTCTTACACTTTAATTAAACAGAGAATTGCGTTTTGACAGTGGCGACAAAAATGAGTCTGGCATGTCTGGTATGTCACGGTGTAGAAAGCCCGTCACATTCGTTCAGAAGCTACTCGGTATCGAGTTCAGACAATGAAGGAAGATGCTCGGCTATTGCCAATTGCTTGGCAAGAAAAACTTCACTCCCGCATCTTAGACCTAATTCCGGGATTACTTCGTCTAAGGTAATGCCCCACCCTACAATTCCTGGTAACGGTGTCACGGGTGCCCCACGCCTTGTCAGAAGCCATGCCGTTAGAAGGGACATTGTCAGAGACTGGAATTTCGACGAACAACTCTTGGACCGTTAAAAAACGGGAGTTTGAATAGCATTATCCTCTTCTCTCTCTCTTTTTTTCTTCTGCATCGAGTATTTGAAGCATCCATGACAATGTCGAGAAAAATTCAAGATTTGAAATGTCTGTTTATAGCTATTATATTTCTTTTTTTGTTGTTGTAATCGCGGATTCTACTTTCGTGGCGTTTAGCCGCTTGATCTTTCGATTTTTTGTTTTAGTGCATGGAAATGGTTTATAGCCTAAGTAGCCCTTTGATTGATCCATTTAATAATTTTACTCAGTTTTCCTTTATTACAAGACTTTATGAACTTGATGATGGTCTAATCTTGGTTGGATCAGAAGAGACAGAAAGAATCACCTTGGAACAAGTATCATTGTGATTAGTTTTCTAACAAGCTTAAAATTGGAAAAATACAGTTTTCACCCCTCAAGTTTGCACGGACTTCATATTTGGTCCCCATGTTTACAAAAAATACATTTGGTCATTTATGTTTCAAAAATTCAACACTTTTAGTCATTTCCTTTCCGTCAATCTCCAGTTAAAAATAGCGGAATCCAACGTTTGCCAATCACTGCCTTAACTAACGGACTAACGGTAAATTGACGGAAATTGACAAAAATGTTAAATTATTGGAACATGAGGACAAAATGTGTTTTTAATGAACATAGATGACCAAAATTGAAATCGGTGCAAATTTGAAGGGTGAAAACTGTCATTTCCCCAATTTTATTTCTACACCATTCATCTTTGAATCAGAAACTTTTCTTTGATCGATTTTTTCCGTTTTGTGTTCTTAGTTATTCCGGCGGATTCTCTGTAGTTCTACTCTCTCTCTCTCTCCTCTCCCTCTCTCTCTCTCTCTCTCTCTCTCACACACACACACACACACACACACACTAGATCTTCATTCCACACATAAACACAAATCAGAGCCAACAGATCCACAACAATGGCACCCAAAACCCCACCCCTCTTCCTCATTCTAACCCTCCTCTCCCTCCTCTCCCTAACTTTCTTCTACCTCCATTCCACCACCACTCCGCCGCCTCCACCAACTCCGACGAACGCCCTCACCGCCGCACATAATTCCATCAGAGTCTACGTTTCACCCCTCCCCAGATCCCTCAACTACGGCCTCTTAGAAAAATACTGGGCCTTGACCTCCGATACTAGGGTTGGCAGTGAAGTAGACAACGAAATTAGAATTACCCTTTTGCCCAAACTTTCCCCAAAATCCCTCCCATATCCTGAAAACCCCATCATTAAACAGTACAGCGCGGAGTACTGGATCTTGGGGGATTTGTTGGCCCCTGATGAGCTGAAAAGAGAGTCTTTTGTGAAAAGGGTTGTGGATTCGAAGGAGGCCGATGTGGTTTTCGTGCCGTTTTTCGCTACATTGAGTGCTGAGTTGCAGTTGATTATTAATAAAAGTGTGTTTAGAAAGAGGGTTGAGGAGAATGAGGATTATACGAGGCAGAAGATGGTGGTTGATTTGGTTAAAAAGTCGGAAGCTTGGCGGAAGTCCGGCGGCAGAGATCATGTTTTTGTTGTTACAGGTAATTTGTTTTATCCTCTTGGTTCATTGTGATTGAAGAAAGGTTTGAAGAATAGTTGTTATGTGTTTTATACATACAATGTGATAATGTGCATGCATAGTTAGGTAATACATGATAGTTTACGAATGTTCGGTATGGAACTAACTCCCGATTACAGTGGAGAATAAGGGAACGAGTCAAAAAAATCGAGTAATAAAAAATCGTTGTGATGTAATACATGTTTGGAGAAATTGTGTTTTAAGTGATAAAGTGGAGTGTGAAAAATGGGAGTAGCTTATATTTGAAGTCTCTGAATTGTCAGGTTATGCTAAAACTTGAAGCATTCTTTGGCAGACCCCGTTGCGATGTGGCACGTAAAAGACGAGATAGCCCCTGCAGTTCTTCTGGTTGTGGATTTCGGTGGGTGGTACAGGCTAGACTCTAAAACATCCAATGACAGCTCGTCCGATCTCACGATACATCACACCCAAGTTTCGCTATTGAAAGACGTGATCGTCCCTTACACACATTTACTTCCCACACTTCGTATATCGGAAAACAAGAAACGCCACACCCTTCTTTACTTCAAAGGAGCTAAGCATAGGCATCGGGTTAGTATTGCCGAACATGCGATTTTTCTTCAAAACGTTATATTTGCTTTCTAATTTTATTGTTATCTACAGACTGGACTTGTTCGAGAAAAATTGTGGGATTTATTGGTCAACGAAGATGGAGTTATTATAGAAGAAGGGTTCCCAAACGCCACCGGAAAAGAGCAGTCGATAAAAGGAATGAGGTCATCAGAGTTCTGTTTACATCCAGCTGGCGATACTCCTACTTCGTGTCGACTTTTCGACTCCATTCAAAGTCTCTGTATACCAGTTATTGTTAGTGACAGTGTAGAGCTCCCGTTCGAAGGAATGGTTGACTATTTAGAATTTTCCGTTTTCGTCTCAGTTAGTGATGCGATGAAGCCCGATTGGCTCGTCAGCCATCTTCGAAGCTATTCCGATGAACAAAAGAATAAGTTTCGTAAGAATATGGCAAAGGTTCAACAAATCTTTCAGTACGAAAATGGTCATCCAGGTGGCATTGGTCCAGCAAATCTCGACGGTGCTGTAAATTACATTTGGAAAAAGGTTTATCAAAAACTGCCCATTATCAAAGAAGCTGTCACACGAGAGAGGAGAAAACCCTCGGGCGTTTCGGTTCCGCTTCGTTGTCATTGTACTTGAAATATCTCGTACTTGTATTAATTTTTTCGTCTTTATTAATATTAGTTCATTCCTCTTTGCAAATTACAATAATGATATAGTTACATTTTATACAAGAGATTTTTTTTTTTTAAATTCAATTTCTGATGTGCAAAGCATCACTCTGAAGCAAGAAAGGATAACCAATTCCACTTCTTGTGGAAGGAAACAAGACAAAGAGCACACTTATAACGAACCCTATCGCGAGTGGGACCGTGTTGATGAACTTTCTCGGCAAAACCAGACGATAGCAGCTCAATACATCGTTGTGAAACAGAGCGAATGTGAGAAGGGCAATCAAGGAAAGCGACGAGTGGAAGAGATCGCGCCACCTCAGCTTGTAATCCGACGGCACACAAGGTCCGACTCTTCTCCCTCCTCCAAAAGTCCTTATCCCGTTTAGTGTCGCCACACCGTAGTACAATCTACCCGTGCCCGTTTTGAAGCTGTCGGTTAATGAGAATAACACGCACGAAGTGGCTAAGAGAGCGAGGAATATTCCCATCTGCCACCTGTCGAGGGCGGTGCATTTGCCATAGTTTGTTAGTAACGGGGCGAAGATGGTGAAGGAGAGGATCGTGGCGGTTGGTAACAGAATGTTGAGACGGGCTGTCCCGTTTAGGATTGTGTTGACTATGTATATGTAGTTGGAGTTTTGTGCATCTTCGTAATCTTCTTCGTCTTCTTGATCGTACAATTCGTAGTTCTCTTGATTGTGTGATATGTCATAGTAAATGTTGTTTTGGTCGGTGAGATGTTGAAAGGTGTTAGTCGACATAGTGAATGGTGTCGGTCGAGTTTCGAGTTCGGTTATAATGCGTCGGAATAGTGTGATGAGTATATATATGTATGTATATATATAATTGTGATAGATACATATAGATATAGGTGAGCTTGCAAAAAGAGATTCCTTGTTGAGATGCTAGGGAAGAAGAAAAATTCTTTGCCTTATTAATTATCTTTTAGTTTTCTTTAGTTCACTGCAAGAAAGGTATCCTTTTTGTGGCTGCTATATGTAATTTTGCCAACTTAATTTTTTGCAATTTTTTTATCATTTCTTGTAAAAAAAAATTCAAAAAAAATTGATCTTGATTCTTGTTATTTATTTCATGACGTCACTTGTAAAAATAAATATTATTTAAAAAAAATTAGAGATAGTATTATGTAATAACTAGATGTCCAGGTCAACAATGGCGCCACATTCAGCTGAATAAATATATCAATCACCACAAAATGCAACACAGGAAACCCGTGCCCAGATTAAATGCAAAAGCTTCAACTTTTTGAATATATATATATATATATATATATATATATATATATATATATATATATATATATATATATACCATTTTCATTTCAAGAAACCCTAATCCACAAATATTTTATCCCAAACAAGATCCTAGATTTTTGCTCAAGAACAATGGCATTTGGCAATAACAGAATCAGGTATGTCTTTCTCACATTTGATTATCAAAACACACACACAAACACAATTCATAGCCTGTAGGAAAAAAAAAATGGATATGCAAATTACATTTTCTTTCAATCGCAAATATCAATACGAATCGTACCCTTATGTTTCTTTACACGGTAGAAGATATAAAATACGACGAATATGTGCAGCCTAAAAATATGTTTGTTCGTATAATATCAAAATACCCTCAAAGACTTAAAAAAAATATAGCACGATGAGAGGGGGGGAGCAACACAATCATACTTCGATGAACGACGATCGACTATACATAAATAATGTAATAAAAAATATTAATGCGGTACCATAAATCTCAAACCGAGGATCCATTTTGTTCACTATCTTCATCTTGACTGACCGATTTTATGGCACTCGAAGGATCCGGGGCGGGCCCACAAAGTTTGCAAGGGTTGGAGGATCTTCTAGAACACCAATGATCCGGAACACTCAAGAAATGCGTGTCGATGAATTTTCTGAATCTTTTTTTATATTCTTTAGGTGATACAATAGTCGGCAGTTGATTCTTAGGAAGAACAAGCGAAGATTTCACCCAATTCTCGAGCTGCTTATCCCACGTATATTGCCTTACATAGTCAATAATTCCACATACCAATTCACGTTTTTGAATGTCCACCCCCACGAGTAGAGAATAATCCATCACATTAATCGACTGCCGAAAAAAAAAAAGAAAAAATAATTGTTACCACTAAAATATTGAAGTACTAAACGAAAAGAATTTTTATTTAGAGAGATCACTCACATTGAGGAAAAGAGTGTCGTTATAAACAGCCCTTTGAAGAGTTCGTTTCGATTTTCTACTGACGTAAAGAGGCGAAACATTCATATCGTTCACAAAATTCTGATCCAAAAGAACATCACCCGAACCATCGCCAGCTGTACTAAATCGAGCGTATAGTGCCCCTTTGAGATCATATTGTCTTGCTATTTGATGACCAAACGAAAGATTCTCCATCACCAGTAAATCATGCCTTGTTTCCCTCCCATTCTTCGTTCCTCTTATTACAACCTTTAGAAAAAAAGACAAAAAACATAAATTACGAAAATACCCCCAAGGTGAGGCCTAATTACCAAAATGCCCCTCGTTTTTGTGTAATTACGAAAAAACCCCATGGTATGTTGTTGCCTTGCACAGTCACCCTTACGATGTTTATCTTGATGGAATCTTTTTGATTCCATGGAATATTCCTCAAAAAATATCATTTTTGCCCTTTCTGATACTTCTATTTATAGACCAAATTACCTAAGAGGTTATTACTTATTTGTAAGCATAATTTTTACTTAGGGGAAATTTTCTTACCTCGTAAATTTACAGACCAAAAACAATATGCAGAAAAGTAGATAGAAGATATAATTAACCTGATAAATGCCCACGATTTTAGCAAGGCACGTCTGATTTCCATGCGTAGAGCACTGATTCATATACTCGAAATAACTCGTGGCGAATTTCATAAATGAATCAAATTCAGTCCTCTTAATCTCCTTGATAATAAACCGATCGTCCAAAGTTTTCGCAAAGAACGATTTACTCTTTCCGCCTTTCGCGTCCCAATTTTTACAACGGCTCAAAGAGGCAATATACTCTTCTTCCGAAGGGCAACACCTGTCCCTAAGCTCACGAAACGGGGCCTCGTAGACACACACAACCGAGTATTTACGATTTTTACCGGGCCCCATAGAAACTTCCGGATGGCTTGCACCGTAAGAAACCAAAGACTCCAACAAATCCAAGCCGTCGAAGCTATTCGAGTTCAACGAATTGGCAGGTGGAGATTGGCTGCTGCTTTCGGAATCCAACGAACCGAACGAGGACCAATTAGGAGAATTCAACGAGAATAATCTCGGTAGGTTTTGAGAGCCCTCGTTTGACTTTAGGTCGTCTTCTTCCTTTGCGTCTTTTAGTAAAGTCAACGCACAAGCTATTATGCTCGAGAATTCATCTTCGTAATCGGACACTATGTAGTCATCAAGACCAAGAGGAATGTGCATTCTTGAACCCTCGTCGGAAATCAGCTTCCGAGAAGTGGACTCCTCTTCGAAGCTTTTGTAGAATTCGAATTTCGGCAGGTACCCTTTTCGTAGATCCTCAATATATTCTCTTCGGATTTCTGCAAACGGGGCCCAGATCCAACTCTTGTCGTTTTCGGAATTCCTCAACACAGAAAGCGCCACAGATGATGATGAATAAACCTCAACCGTTGGATCAAGATCTTCTGAAGTGGGTTTAATCAAGAAATCTTGATCCGATCCATTTTCTTCAACACGAATTCTTTCGGTTGGATGACTTTCGCTGTCTGAAGATGTATTGGGATTAATTTCGGTTTCGGGATCGGGGTTCATGGTATTGAGATCCGAGGAGAGCAGTGCGTGTAGTCTGTGGTCCCACGTACAAGATTCTAGAAGAAGATCCAAACGCAGTCGATTTAGGCTTAGAAGGTTCCACACAGCATTATCTTCACTTGCATTCCTCGCATTCTGAATCTCAACCTAATAATAAACACATTTGCACGGCTGTTATTCAAGAAGACCTTGAATCTCGCGTCTTTTTAGGATGTAATAAGATCTAAAAAAGTAGTCTTGGTCAAGACTTCATTTCCCTTTTGATTCGGTTGCATATCATTTTTAAGGCCAACTTTTTTTTAACTTAAAAAAAGAATTAAAAAAAAAAAACACTTAAGTTTGAGGATAAACAATCGAACCTCGAATTGAGCCTTTTCTTGTTTGAGCATCTCGACAATAGCCGAAAATTCCTTACTCGAACCCTTTACATATCGATCTCCTAAATTCATCAAAGATTTTTCGATCTCAAGAAACATCGAAATACCTCTCGAGTACACCTTAACAAAGAAAAAAACAACGAAAATCAGTCGAAATAATAAAAACACGAATATGACTATAATTAATCAGGTGCGTACATTCGCGGAATCGTTCTTTAGAAAATCTCCTCTGAACGAAGAGTTAAACTCCATCTCCTGAGGTGGCAGCGACACTGAATAAGTCACAACTGGAGAGTACTTGAACATTGCAACCATCGGTCCTAATCTGCGTATTTATTTATTTTTAATAAATAAATGAAAATAACATAAATAAATAAATAAAGGATGTAGAGAAATATGACGTACCCGAAGAAGTAGAGGAAATCTTTATGGAAAGAATGACCGCAGCTGGATAAACTATGTAAAGCAGAGTGGCTCGAAAAACTGAGTTCCAAGAACTTGCCAAACGAAAAACCACGTGCAGCAGTTGACAATAATACCCTTTTTGTGGATTTCGAGGTTCCATCTTTGTTCTTACATTTACCGCATCGACTCCACATCCAAAGCTTCCCTTCATTTTCCCCTAACAAAGTTTTTGCTGCAGGGAGTCTTCTAACTTGGATCGTAAGTTGTTCGTTATGATGTGCGTAGTAGAAAATGTGTGCGTCAGATGGTTCATCACAAGTCTTACACTGTAGCCTCTGCATATGTAGAAATAACCACTTCGATTTTCATATTTTTCTTTATAATTAAAAAAAATGGGTAAACTACAACCATCCCCCTAGGTATGGTCAAATTACGAAAACGCCCCTCCTGTTTGGGTAATTACAACCACCCCTCAACTATAAATCTTCTTACACGTCCACCCTTGCGGTTTCAAATTTAGTGGAATCTTGTAGATTATATGGAATATTCTCAATTTTGGACCCGTTTTATCCCATTCGAGCTCCACATTTTGAAACTAGATGTGTTTTTTGGCTTGTATATATCAGATTGTGGTGCATCAGAAACTGTATTTTTGCACAAAACGAGTACAAACTAGAGAACATTCCACAGAATCTAGATGATTATGTTGAATTTGATACCATAAGGGTGGAGATGTAAGAAGATTCATAGTTGAGGGGTAGATGTAATTATCCAAACATGAGGGGTTTTTTCGTAATTTGATCATACCTCAGGGGTGGTTGTAATTTACCAAAAAAAAAAAAAAAAGAAGAAACAGAATATACCTGATTGAGTAAATTATCCTGCAAAAACTTTCCGAGAGGAACATCGAAACTTCGGTAAAACTTGATATGCGAAAAGTGACTGCTCTCACAAATAGTGCCCCTCGAAGCATTTCGGCTCGACATCAAAACCAAAATACTCTCGGAATCCAAAACCGAATTGATATCATCTTTGCTCTGCATTCTCTCTTCGCCGTCATCACTAAGATTCTTTCCTGCATCCGAAGATTCCGCCACCTCAGCGTGAAGCAAATTTTCTTCCTCACGGTGATTTACAGCCTCTGGAAAACTGTCGTTCATAACTTTTTGAATGGTTGTGGAAATAGACAAACCCGGAAAAGTTGCTGGATCGCACACCTCGAACGACAATGAAGGAATGTCTTCGGATGATTCGGTTTCATGGAATCCATTCGAAATTGGAATATCAAGAGTCGACTCATCGGTTTCAGCCAATCCCGATTTGTCATTAGTAATTACTAAATCCACTACCTCAGTGGGCGAAATTGTGGACAGCATTGCGGTCTGGTCTAAAAGGAAAAAAGTCTCGAGCATCAAATGATATGCCATTACAACCGCACACCTCACTACGCATTTAATTCTCTTCAATTCGTCGCTATTAGCTCCCATAAGCAGAATCTGCGCATTATAAATAATCGAGTTCGTCAGCCGAAATACAATTTTTTTCCTCGTGAAAATTTATTATACATTAAACTTACGGTACATCCAAGGCGAGTAGGGGCGCCCTCGAGGAACATTAATGTTTTACTCTGTTTTTTCCCGCCCTCTGCGGGGCCCGCAAGTTCTTCAACAAACTTTTCGATACGAAAGGAATCACACTGTCTAAGTTTCTGACCAATCGCAACCCCGGACGCGGCCAAGATAGGTGAGCCAATGCAACGAGCGACTCTCTCCAAACGGTGTAGCTTCATATCAATGACTAGTGTTATTCCTTTCGCTAAAATGGATTCTTGAATGTCGCGAGACACTGATTTCTCGACTAAGATCACGTTAGGATGGTACGTGTCTATCATGTCAGTAATAGATTTCAAGTTGTCTTTATCCTGTCAAAAAACCAAAAACAAAAATTTTAAAAAAATAATTAAAAAATACAAATTGATGTCCCTTATGTACAAGTCTAAACGAGAGATTCTTATTTCTCATTTTCACCTGCTGTATAGAATGGAAAGACGAAAAACCACCAGACGAAAGGTCGAGTGAGCCATGAATCAGCAGCAATCTTGGATTTTTATACTTTGTTGCCATGTGTTTGTGAGCAGCATGCTTTTTGAAGACCAGCCCCTTGATGAGTTGACTACATAATTGTAATATACGTCGAAATTAAAAATTGCCCTTTAAAAGAAAACCCATTTTCGAGGCATCGAACCCAAAAAAAAATAAAAAAAATTATTATTACCTTTGTGTGCTCGAACCAGTTGCAACACATTTAATCTTGACATAGCCATCGGGATCCATAGCAGCACCTTCGGTTGCATCGGGCTTGACAAAAGCAGCAGCTTCCCACGACAAAGAGGTCACTATATCGACCCACAAGTTTCCGGAAGATCCCATGCCCACCGATTTCATTAGTTGACTAACGAGCGCCCTGAATTTTCCATTTTTAACATCTTCCATTTTCTTGACTTTTTCTTCTTTGAACTTATAACTTCCACTTCCACTTCCACTGCCTTCTTCTCCAAAGCTGCTTAAAGAACTCGGTTTCGACCAGTAGGCCCCACCATCACCACCCTCATCGTCATAATCATCATCGTAATTTGCTACACTCCCTACGACATCATCGTCTTCGTCTTCAGGTTCTGGAGGAATCCAAAATTCAGCATCTTCTTCAGATGCCTCTTCGCCATATGAACTCGGTTGCTCTGCAGTTTTATCGTCTGCAGTTTGTGCAATTTCTATGTTTTTGCTAACATCCCTAGTTTCATCAGCTTGAGAAAAACCGTTTGAGTCATCGGGGCGTCCTTTTGATGAAGAAACAGAATCTTCTTGACTACTGTCTGCGGTGTTGTCATCTACAAATCTACTGATATAATAAACGAAAAAATCAGATCTTAATTACGAAGTCGATGCCGTGGAAAAGAAACTTATCTATAATTATTTTTCGACAGACAGTTGACTGAATGAAACGAATTTTCGTACCTGTCGTCGAAATCTGCATCAACTGACATATCACCTGAAAATATAAAATACGTGAGCGAAAGGAGCAAAAGAGGAAACGACGTCAAATTGAATAAACGGGGAATAAACGGAACTTCCACGGCTTCTTAACGAAAGAGTGGGACTGATTGACGGAGTTGTGCAAGAACTGGAACTCTCTTGATTCGTATTGCTCATGTAGTTCGTTTCACCACAAAACTCGCAAGACTCGGGGTTTAATTCAACCGAATGCCCATTTTCCTGCTCTGTGCAGTCACCTGATTTCGCAAACTTTGCATCACAATTATTGCACATATTAAATTTGATCCAATTTCAGCCTGCACATTCGGTTTAAACGAGTTCGGAAGTTCAATTACAGCCACAAAGAAGTTCAAGAAAATTGAAGATTTAACCTGATAATTACGAAAAGAACCGAGAAACGATAGTCGTTTAAACGGCAATAATAGTCATCGTGATTGAAAATTGATACTATTGCCTAAACTCAGACAGTTTAAGAATTCAGACAGAGCTACTAAAATTGATGCATACACAGATTGCTGATCGATCGAAACAATTCAACAATCGGTTTTAACAATCGTATAAAACAACTCATATCAAAACAATCTAATCCTTTAGTTGAATAATTCACTTTTTTTTTAATTTCATTTTCGTTTTCATTAGAATCGAAAAGCTACCATTTTCGCACCACAAATTACGAAAACAGCCTAATAATCTGATTCTGTGAATCCAATCATACTGAATCTTGAAATACCAGACCTAGAACAAGTCAAAAAAAAAATACCAAAACAGCCAAGAATTCATGAAAGCTTGATCCGTTGACTCTCAAGTCAACACAATGTCCAGTAAATCATACTACCCCAATTTTCAAGAACACAAATTCAGCAAGAGAATCAAACAAAGATCACAAATTTACAACTCCCAACAAGATCCAAATTCAGCAAGAATCAAAATAGAATCAAGCAAGAATATTCCTTGATAACTAGATTTAACAAATCCCAGGAACAGATATTAATCAAATACCTTGAAAAAACAGTATTGTAATAACCAATCTTCAGAACCCAGACAATATCTCTTCCACCAAGAATCAAATATTTGGACATTCAATTTCAAGAACTTGGTCTGAAACAGCTAAAAATAATTTCATGAGTGAATTCAAGAAAATCTGGAGGACGAGAGAAAGAAATAGAGAAAAAGCAAGCTAGAATTTTATGTTTCCCCCAAGTGGGACCCACCAGAGCCTTTTGTTCAATACTTGAAATTTAAAAATTCAATCTTTTTCTCCTATGTAGGTGACAAAAAGCCAATATGTATGGTCTGCGTTTTTTTTTTTTTTTTTTTTTAAATTCTTTTTTCTGTTTTGTCAAATTTTATTTAGGTGAAAATTCTCCATCGTCCAATTGAATTTAAATGAAGAAAAAATTGCTGCAATAGCTTCACAGTTGGTGACATGTCTGAGTGTCTGGAAAAATTAAATCTTTACAATAAATGAAGCAGATTTTTTTTTATTTATGGGTTCCAGGTGATTTTGTGAATTATTTGCCTTTGTAAATTTATTTTTTTCTTATTTAATTTTTGGTAATAATAAAATTGAAGGAGAAAATAATAAAATCCGAAAAGTAAAGGGGTAAAAATGCAAAAATAAAAAATATAATGGGCTCCCTCCCTATATACGCGTATTTTGACTAGGACCCCTAAGACATGGTTCAAATCTCACCAATTAAGACGGCATTTTGTCTGATTATAGACCGCAAACTTATTGTAATTGCAGTTTAGCCCTATGAAAAATATAAATTATTCTATTAAATCTTAATTTATTGTAATTGCAGTTTAGCCCTATAATATTCATTTAATTTTCTAAAAGGGTGTGTACCATATAAATAAGACTTAGACAACTTTGTTCAAATTTAAAGCAAGTACTTTTTATGTTGGTTATTGGTTGGTATGTCAAGATGGCAAGATGGTGATTTTAATAATGTATCAAGTAGTCTTTAATATTAAATTTGACAAAAAATTGTAATAATAAAATCATATATTAATATTAATTATTTTGGTGCAAATTTTCAATTATTAATTTAATTGGAGGCAGTCAAGATTTGAAGCGACAGGCATGTAAGATTAACAAATGTCATTGCTGGTGGAAGATGTAAATAAAAGAGAAAACTGTATTATTGGTTCATTTATTTAATTAATAATAATTATCATCTGAAATGGATATACTATATTGCAATTTGCAACTTTGCACTATTAAAAAAAGAAAAGAAGGAAATAGCCTGCAGTTGACCATCTCAATGGGAATAAAAGAAAATTGCAACATGTGCTAGGTTTGTCTTTTGACTTTTGACTTTCTTGTTTATCTTTTTAATTACGGTCAAAATTACAAAAAAAACTATTATTTAAGTGAGGTTATTGATTTATCGAGGTTTTACTGTTGAAACTCGAAGTAAATTGTAAGAATAAAAGTGGATTCGACGTTTGCGAGGCTTGGGTTCAAATTCGAATTAAATGATAATAACAAATTAGGGGCATGGGGATAGAGTAGGAAAATTCGGGTCTAGGGCACGAATACAAGATCTTTAATTGAAATACCGCCCTTCGGGTTGAAATAGCGTTTCAAAATCATTGTTTTACTTATTATTTACTGTGGCTTTGCTTTGATTTATTTACATTCATAAATGGAACTAATACATATATATTTAATTTAAAATAAAAATTATAAATATTATTCTTATTGGGCCTTGATTCAAAAGTTTATTTATTGGGCCTATAAAGCAAACTGAATTTGCTCGTAGGGCTCCTCTAGAACCTCTATTATGATGGCCCAATGGTTTCTAGACCTTATCATGTCACCATATTTGTTTTTCTTGCTCAGTTTATTTACCATAAATTTAAATTGATTGGTGAGTGATTTTAATTTTTAATAAAACATTAAAGTACGTATTATCGTATTTGGATATATTATATTATTTGAGCTGCATTGCCAAACTAGCGCCCATGGCCTAATGGATAAGGCGTCTGACTTCTAATCAGGCGATTGTGGGTTCGAGTCCCACTGGGCGTGAACCAAACTTTTTTTTTTAATTTTATTGTATTAGGGGTGTTCATTCAATAAAACCTTCAAACATTTCTACCGTTCACCGAACCGAACTATTCGGTACGGTTTTTAATTGACGAGGAAGACGGAATTTTATTCAATCGTCGGTGGTGAACCGAACTATTTGGTATAATTGACGAGGAAGACGAAATTTTATTCAATCGTCGGTTTTTCGTGGTTTCTCCGTCTCGGATTATCCCCTTGATTAGGATCCACTTGAAGATAACCAAATCTAGTGGTGTTTTTGCATATAAATTATAAATTAAATTGAACAATATTTTTCTTGAAATTGATATAAATCAAAATATATTTACTCTCCACAAGTGGTAAATTAAGAGGAAAATTGTTCGACCAAAACCTACTTAGAAAAACCAAAACAAACCCTAAGATATTAAAAGCCGAAAAAGCTACATGAAATTCTCGTTGCAATCTTTGGGAACCGGTCGGGGTTGGAGAATCACTTCTGCAGTCTTCGAAACAGCTTTTCCTTGTAATTTCGTGCGAATTATCTCAGGTGTCTCTTCACTCCATCGTCTTGTACGAAACTGGAACCACTTGCCAAGTCCGATGTATACGTTAGTACACCTACATATCACCATTTTCTCTAAGCTCGTCGCACTTGCGAGTATGTAAGTAGCGAATTCGATCTCGTTTTCCATCCCACAAAATCCAGTAAATACCATTTTCTTCAACTCTGTGTGAAATACTATCGCTTTCCTTTCTCCTTGCGCCACGTCATATTCATTATTATTCAACTACAACCAATTACAAACATCAATTTTCTTTTTTTTCTCAAGTTTCTAATATTTGAAACACGAAAGGAACAAACTCGTTACCAATGAAGTGATAGTACTAATAAAAGTTTCGAAAAAAAAATTGTACCACAATACTTACATTGACGTGAAACTCCTGTAGGCACGGGCACCATTGCAAAAGTGGAGTCAGCACAAAAAGATCGATCTTTTTCTCCACACGGTATACGTTGATACTTAATTGCCTAAGATTTTTGAACATGTTAATCCCGATAGATCCGATTCTTTCCTAAGAATTAAGAAACACAAAGTCAAGAAAGTCATACATCAAATAGTAACAAAGATTCACAAACGGGGAGCGAAAGAAATCGAGGACCTTTCTCATACCTCAAGACTATCACCTTCAATGATAACTATGATCAATGATTTCAGGTAAGGCAAATCTTCCTCGATTTTCCCTAAAACACGACGCTCGATGATGCTCCCCTCGAGATTCGAACCAAGCTTAAGTAATATACATTCCAGCTTCGGGACGTGGTTGAATACAATGTTAACCGTTTCTCGATTATTAAAAAAATCGAATCTGACGAGATTACCGGCGAAGAAATCTATCTCCTCTAAATCTTCACAAGCACTAACATCGAGAGTCTTCAATTCTAGGTCGATGCCACGTATGCGTAACTTAGAAGGGCATTTACAATTAACAATCCTCAAAGTGTGGAGCATCGAGCAAGTCGACAAAACGCACTCTACGGCACCAGACGAAACCGTAACCTCGGAAAGATAGAGTGTCTGGAGCGAATAATTACGTTGGCTTCTCCAGCTCGGGTGCAAAGAGCACAAGCGCAGCTGGAAATATTTCAACGAGTGCATCTCGGAAAGAAAGTGACAAGAAAAGGGAAGATCGTGAGACGTGTGGCTATAGCAGTTGCATACCAAAACAAAATTCTCGACGCGCAATCTCTCCACGGAACAAATAACCGTCTCCTCGAAACGACTGGCGACGCACTTGCTCAAGCAACAGAGTAAATCGAGGGAATGCACCTTGGAACCGAAACGACGACTCAAGATCCAATCGAGCGAGTCGATAATCAAGTTCGGGTCGTGGATACGGCTACGGTCGTTGAGAACGTCGCGTGGTAGAAGCCCGGAACAGCACAGATGTAAGTCTTGGCTGTTAGGTACAGGGCCACGTGTCATCTGAAGAACATCATCATCATCTGGCAGTTTGATGTGCATATAAAAATTAGGTTGGTACAAAAAAAAAAAAAAAATTAATAAAAGATTAGGGTATCGTAATACATACGTAGTAAAGATGGCTGCTTTTTCTTGCGAAGACGGAGTTTTCTAAGTATAGCAAAGACAGTTATTACAGTTAATAGAGTCACCATTATTGAATCTCTGTCCATTGCTTCTTCAGATACTTCTGCTCGAAACGAAGATCAAATTCTATTTTTTTTTTTTTTTTTTTTTACTAGGGTTTTGAGAAAATGAGTTGTGCAGAAAGAAAACAAACGGAGAATGGATTAGGGATGGTGTTTTTTTTTTTTTTGTTTATATACATAATAATAATAATAAAATAATATTACATAAATACATATAAAAATTTAAAAATATATTGTTATAGTTTATTTATATTTTTATAGTCATATGAATAATTTATATTGATAAAATAAAGTGATATTAATATAAAAATTAGAAAAAAACTAAAAAAATAACAAAATGAGCTGAGCTCGATTATCCTTCTTAAACATTAAATTTTGCCAAAAGATTATACTTTTGGGGCAATGTGCAATGAATTATATATTTTGAGGGGGGTGTTCGCTTTTTATTTATTTATAGGGGGTTTATTGATAAAACTCAAATTTTTAAGGGGTAGAGTGCTATTTGTCCCAAAAAAAAAAAAAACTTGGTCGGTGGATTGTTATTTTAAAAAAAGCCCACAAATATTGTTACAGCCCAATATGGATTGACTTGGGTGAAGACTCGTGGCCCAATAAAAAATCGATAAAAAACGATGTGCTAACGATAGAACTTAAACGATAAATACATGACGACTTTTAGTACTCGTATGTCATCTTTTAATAAATTGCATAAATTGGAATGGATGTTTTAAAAGTTGGACTTCTAAGTGTAAATTAGGAAACTTAAATGACTAAAAGTTAAATAATGTCAAAATATAGGACCAGAAACGTATTGTATATATACGGTTGAAATCTATCCAATGTAAATATCGAGGTGTAGCGTCTAACTACATTTATTTAACTGACCGACAACTAGTGCATATTTGTACTTGAGTGGGAAATGTCCGTAACTCTACTCTTAACTCTCTACGCCATAATTCTTCGTACTTCGTGTAGTATTTATTAAGTAGGTCCTATATATTTTGGTCCCAATTCATGCAGAAAATGCTACTCATTTTAATTACTTAATTTAGGGACCACAATTTGGTAAGTTAAGAAATCATGAAAATAACGATTTCCGATTTCCGATCTGATTAAATGTAACGAAAGTGTTACTCAATATAACTCATCCTTCATACCCATTATCTGCAGCATTTGATAATAGTGCATTTGTGATTTTGCTTGTTTTTATCTTTCAATTTTTCGATGTATATATATATATAAGTTTATTTAAATAATTAAAAAAAATGAAATAAAAATC